AAACTAAAATGATATGGCCATTCCTCGAAACATTTCCAATTGAAAAATTATTTTTTTTACGCTATGACCGTTTACGATCTAACATACCACCGCCATAACTTTCGACCGCCTCCCCCCTCGGAAGCCAATGTTAATCGGCCAAGTCGCGGCGGAGAGAAAATCCATAACAAAATGATGTTTTCACAAACATTTTTGAACGGGTTTAAGTTCAGGGTCAAGGAGGGTCAGTTTGACTGACTTAATCCGTTTAATTTTTCTGTTGCACCATATTCGTTAACTGACTTTTTTCTCAGAAAATTTGAATTGCGCTGAACTTAATCCTTTATGAACTAATGACGGCATTGCGTAGGAAGTGCAGAGTCAACCTACTTGACGCCATTTTTCATGTTGATCACTACAGTGGCTTTGAATTCCGCACTTCTCCATAAAAAATTAAAGTGAAAATCTACGTTTTTTCTATACATCCTGTGCTATAGCATTTCAAAGTAAATGTTATTGTTTCTGAGATTGTGTTGAACAATTGATTCGACATTGGTACATACTATTTTTGCGCGTGTTTAGAGATCTATCAGCCCTAATTGTAATACATTTAACGCTATTGTTATTTATGACAAAATAATTACACTAGAAAAAGTTTCTAGAAGGTACATTTCAAGTTAGCACAAATTGTTCAAATCTGTATGAGGAAACACTGATGACTTCTGAGATAAAATGGGACAAACATAGAAATCTGTTTTAAATGCAAATTAGTCATTTGAAGAAATGTTAGGCGTATTCTTATTTTTAGCCGTCTCTCAATTTAAAATCAGTGAACTGATTCTGATTATTTCCTATTGTGTTGCAAAATCGGAAAAAATATAATGTACCCTACAATATTCTGTGAAAATATGCTGCTCATATATTGTTTAGTAATGTTAAATGGTACATTGATAAACATTAAGTAATGATAGTTTATATTTACCTCCCACAAAATTGACAAGGAAAATTGAGTTTTTATTTTGTAATCAAAATACTCTCTCACTAATAAGTGGGAAATAAAAGACAGTAATCAACCTACAATTGGCAAATATATGCAGCCAAATATACAATGAATAATAATGATTGCATCACTAGATATATTTTATCAATTTTCTGGATGTTACATTATATCATTTCTTAGAATATGATCATTATAAAAGCATAATGAATTATGTGTTTCATTACATTCCATGCACTATCACATCCCATAAAATCCATTCAGATATTCTGACTTGAACAAATACTTTATCAGTTATGATAAAAATAGGAATACAAATCATTACAATGTCTGGTTGCCATGAACCAATGATAACTGATTTCATGTAAGGGAAAATAGAAATACAATAAATATTTTCTTTACAGGCCTTCAAAAAACCATATTCATAAATAAATCCCTGTTATACAGATATAAAAATAGAGCATCTCCAACTTGAATATTGTATGTCCTTTTGATTCTTGTGATTAGCATTGGTTGAACAGTTTTACAAACTAGAACTGTTTTCAGTTTCAATATAGAAGTTAATCAATTTCTGAGAGAATGTCATATATTTAAATTGCTTAAAATCTTGAGAAAAATATACATTCTTAGCTCAATATATCAGCCAAAAATTACATCATAAAAATTTGAGATTTCTTGTATAAATAACTTGAAACGTTAAGTACTTCTAAAACATCTGCATAATTACATCACAACCTGTCTTATCTTATTTAATGATAGATCAAGATAAACTCATGACAAAGTCACCATCATCACATTAGGTATATGAACTGTGATTAAAAAATGTAGATCAATCATACACATCTATCTGTATCTGACCCAGACAAATCTGCTAAATAATTTAAGATGTTGACAAACCTGTCTATTTCTTGCTAACAACATGACTGTTACATAAACATCATTATCAGGATTTTTTTAAACAATACATATTGTTTAAACAATACATATGTTGCCTGCTCATATTGCAGTTCTTACACAATAGCAATAGTGTAAAAATCCACTTTTGAGCTCTATAATATGCTTACTACCAGGGCCATACTGAAGCTTTGATATACTGGCCAAAGGATTTGAACTCACGAGAAGTTTTTTGAAAATATCACATAGCAATGGAGCAAAAATGGATATAATCTTCCAGTAAATTTAGGTACAACTGAAACACTTTCCAAAAAATGTGCTAATAAGGAATGTTAACACATATACAAATGATGACTTTGTTGAACTGATTACTTAGGTATTCTGAAATATCTCTAGCTACCAGTTAGTATCAGTGTACATAATTTTGCCAGATATACAATCCTGCAGCACAAATATTTGAAGATAAAAAAGTATTTGTATGCAATCATTTTTTTGGGTTTGAACGCCTATTAGCTTTTGTCAGAAATTCACAATTATAGTTGTAATCTATTTACAGGAAGCTTTATTGAAAAAAAGTTTATTGCTAGGTATTATTTCATTATGTTTCATGGAACTGGCTGTTTCATAAGAAGCTCTATATGTAGCTGTTTTCAAGTCCCTATTTCAAATGAAGTCTTTTTGTATGGGAAATATCTTCTTCCAAAAAATCCTTCATTTTCTAAATGTTTCTAGATGCCACTTGATACACTATATGTGCCTCCTTAATCCCATTTGACCAGCTTCTTATCTATTACAATATTTCTAACCTAATGTGGCAAAGCTTTATTAACATTTAATTTTAACAAGGTTTGATGTAATATTGCATTAGAATGGAGGTCACAACTTAAAAAAAAACTACAAACATCCTAGCTACATTAAAGCCTATGAAAATTCCTGAGGTATCTTGCTGAGCAACCTCCATGTTTTGCTGACAGTCATATCAAACCACAGATGTTGATGTTAAACTTTATTAACATTGAATATTACTTTGGGAAATGCCAAAGGGCCAGTGATATGCCCAAAACAGTACATCTGGTGTTATTTGGTGGTGACCAAAACATGATACATTGTATGACTATACTGTTAATACTTATAACTGCTCGATTTCTTGAAATGTTTACTGAAATATGGATGCAAGTTACTCACCCACATACATAATAATGGCCCATACCAAAACCATTCTCCTTCCCACAGCCCCATCAACATTCCAGAACCAAAAAGGTATAAATGCTGAATAAAATGTTTCATCCCCTAAAGCAGTGCTGAAGACGAACAAGTAGTACCAAAATTTATTTTCTATTACATACTCCTTATCCGAAGTGCTAGATTTTTCTTTCATTTTACTGACACCGAAAAATTCTTGAATGCTTGCTATGAGTTCTGATCCTTTCAAGTAATCCATTTCGACTGTGGAGCTTCTATCACATATTTGCAAATACTGAAGTTTGAGTAAAAGCGCACAAGTTAACTGTAGCTAATTGTAATCCATTTGAAATATAGAACTCCAGTAGTAAACTAAAGAACAACTGAACGTACAACTGAATACTGAAATATCTGCAATATGATGTTTTTGAAGAGGGTTTAAAGTTAAAAAATCTGAAGTTGATGTTTATCGAACGTCAGAGTCAAGTTGAGAATTTGTTGTTCTATGAAGAAATACTAGTGATGGGAAGTGTGAGTCATTTTACGTGTTGATATATTGAACGTTAAGCCATGTCTACACGCAAAGACGCTTATTTTCATGGATTACGCATATCTAATGTCTTATTTATGGAATAATAATGATAATGTCGAATATCTATAATTCAACCAGAATCGTACTCGAGTGATTTCAATTAACACTGAACAAGAGATCCGCATGAAAAGGGATCCCATTGATTCGAGGACGTATAGCCGTTTCTTTGCCCTAAGAACCGACAAAGCGGCACGTTTAGGTGCCACGAATTTCGATTCATGAGGTAGGATAGCAGAATTGCAATCGTGACTTATTGGAATATGATGATTCTGTCCTCTAATTCTTTACTCCGGACCGTATTCACGATTTAATAATATTTCTTATTCCATTTCTCTAATGAGGTCGCAAAACAATTTTCTTAAATCAGGTAATTTGCTTCATCTGGAACAACAGGGATAACCACCGCCATAAATATACAAGTGTAGTCTCGACTTATTCAAGCACCATCACAGAGCCCAAAAATCTATGACAAAATGTCAAATTTACAGGTTATGATTTTGTATTTGTAAACAACGACCGGCTAAACTTTCAATTTGTGGATTTAATTGATAAAAATGCCGAATTGGAACCAAATACAGTCTCAATTGAGGCATCCAGCAAATCCAGTAGTATTTTTTGATGTATCGGTCGGAACAACAGTGAGTATATTACTTAGCTCAAATGATATTTTCTAGTTTGGTTTCATTCATTCAATTTCCAGGAAATCGGAAGGATGATTTTCGAATTATTCGCTGATGTAGTACCAAAAACAAGCGAAAATTTCAGACAATTTTGCACTGGAGAATTCAGAAAGGATGGAGTACCTTTAGGGTATAAAGGAGCTAGTTTCCACAGAGTTATTAAGGATTTTATGATACAAGGAGGTGACTTCGTTAATGTAAGTGTATCTGATAATTATAATGATAATTTTATGAGTTGTATAGGCTATTATCCATGAACTGTGAAATTTCCATCTTATGAGAATCAATGCAAGTTCACCCAATGAACAACTTCAAATAAAGTAATACTTGCAGGTAAATTTGCCTTACAGACCTGTGATCTGGATAAACTCTAATTCTGGGAGGACCAATCACAAATTCGTCCTTACACTACCTGATGCTTCTTAGAGTGATATTTGTATTTAGTATCCCAAATTACCTAGGTACTCCAAGTTTCATTCATTCGTAACAATGTGCGAGAAAGTTTTCAAATACCTCTTCAAGTCTGTGATATTGATAAAAATCTGTTTTTTTTTGTGAAGCGGGTGCGTAAATTCCAAATCCAGTTTGAATGAGGTTCCTGCAAGTGACACATTTTGTACTTGAAATTCAACCCCATAATACTTTCAGGCTCTTTGATGGTCATATTAAATTCAGCTCCCCATATAAACACACTTGGTTTAATTTGCTTGTAACAACAGGAGGCAAAAATGAAAATATGCTACAATTTGTCTAAATGAAAGCCCCTCTGGTTGTCTTAGGTATACAGATTCTGAATTCAGTCCTTAATTTGACACTCCCAAGCGAAAATTTTCTAATTTTACGATGCTAGTGCGTTATTTTGTAATATTCGAATTGACCACACCAAATTGCCTGTACCCAAATTACATTTGCTTTTAGAATAGGAGTTGAAGGTGAAACTTTTGCTCTGAAATACAGAATACTATTATTAGAAAAACCACCTTCTCCTGGGTCTCCCTCAGCCATATTTCCAGCCTTGCAAGGACCCCAATTCAATTTTTAAGATAGTTACTCAACATCAATCTGACCACCATATGTCACCAGTGGTGTATTTTCCCTAAAGCCATGGGCTGGGAATGGCTCAAGCCATCTGAATCAAAAGTTTTTGCTTTTCCCAGTTCTTCATGGGGCTGCAGATCTTTAGAGGTTCAGGGCACTGAATCTCAAAATCCACTACTGTATGTCACTTGTGGACTAGCCAGTTAACAATGGTAGCTGATTATTTTCACTGTTTCTGGTGGTTACATCATCAGTGCCATATGTAATAAGTAAGTAAACTGCAACACAGGAGAATTGCACACTAGCCAGAATGATCTTAATTGCAGCTTCTCTTGCACACATGAATTGGTTAATAAGGACCATTGCTTTCATTCATTTCTTAAAATACTCCAATAATTTCTGGTAAAAAATATCGGTACTATCCATTACTAGTGACTATGTTTTACATTAAAAAGATCAATAAAAGGTAAATCATGTCAAGTGGCTTGACATACTGGCAGTGACAAGCATAGATTAGGAATACTCATATGTTGGCGAGATTATTTTCGAGGTGGCGAGATAGAACTAAAGAACGTATGTCTAAGCTTACACAAACGTTTGTGCACACAAACCCCTTGCCTTCTTCTCAATGTGCTTGCACGTTTAGGGTACTGGCTTTCTATAACCTACCAATTGCTTAATATATGACATATGATGGACAATTCGCAGTGCATGCAATCCCAGACATCTCACTTTATACAAATATTTATACTTTTCAATGCTAAAGAGTCTACCTACTTGACATCATTTGTTCTTGTCAAAGGGCGATGGAACAGGAGTGATGAGCATCTACGGAGGCGGCACCTTCCCCGACGAAAACTTCACCATAAAACACGACACTCCAGGCCTCCTGTCAATGGCGAACAGCGGGAAAGACACGAACGGCTGCCAGTTCTTCATCACATGTGCCAAGTGTAACTTTCTAGATGCCAAACACGTCGTGTTTGGTAGAGTGATAGATGGACTGTTGGTAATGAGGAAGATAGAGAATGTACCCACTGGGCCCAATAATAAGCCTAAGATACCTGTTACAATAGTACAGTGTGGACAGATGTAGTATTAAGCGTTTTAGGTGTACATAATGACATTGTATGTGTAAGGACTATTATGCACAAAATACTTTTTAGATGAATTTCATGTTATTATTACCCAAATGACCACTCCCACGAGAAATCTGTGATTTCGTTTTCGAAATAAGATCACACTGAATGTAGCATCATATGTACAGCGTGACACAAAAGTCTCTATTTTCTCGGGTAAGGTACTTTTTGGAAAAGACCAAGGTCAGCACTTTAAAAGCTTTCAACGGTGACCTTTAATTTGACCTTGACTTTCACCTTCAAGATTAATTTACGGGCAACGTTATGTTTTCAAATAGAAGGTGAAGGTCACCGTTAAATTCCCTGCTGAAAGTTACTGAAAACCTGACCTAGATCTTTTCCAAAAATACCTTACCCGAGAAAATACGGTGTGATTCTAGGACTTTTGTGCAACGCTGTATATTGGTACGTCTCTACAGGTTAGGCATCATAACAGATTATGGAATCTTTGCATGTTCTTAAACCAGAGGTTTCTCAAAGATTCAAGTTTTCCAAATTATATTCAAAAAATATTATATATGCCAGGAAAAATGCTTTTAATGAAATTGAAACACTAGATGTGTATATTTTATTTTTAAAGATTGCCATGAAGATATTCTCTCCACTTCATTGCAAGCATTCAGATAATCTCTTTATCGCAATTCGCATATATGTATATTGCGCTCAGGAATAGCGGGTATAATTTGGTTACTTTGAGGCGTACATTTTGGAATCAGACAGTTTGCTAGTAGAAAATACTGCCAGTTTCACTTGCATATAATAGCATAACTGGTATCTTTGCAAATCTGGAGGAATTATTTCGGTAACTTAAAATTTAAGGAAGTTATAACATTTTCTGTATTGGCTGCTCGTGCGTTGAGGTTCGACCGTGACGTCACATTGCACCCGCTTCAGTACTGACGCCCGTGGCCGGACGACGCGACGGCCCTCTCATATATAGTCGCAATTTATTGTCTGTACCTTGACATACACTGTTGTGCCGTATTGTAGGTATACAATAATTGAAGTGGAAAAAGGTTTTCTGCCCGCCGATTCCAGTAAACCTCCGAAGGTGGACTTAATAATGGTTAAATAGTAATGCGAAACGCTTATAATGGAGTACGCATTATTAGTAAGTTGTCAGTGCTCTTATTTTGCTGCTTCATTATGATCTTTGTTATGCTGCGCTTGCGCAGCAGCGAAGCAATCCTTCGTTCTCCGTTATCGGAATAAGAAGCTTTGTTAGTTACAAAGACTAAGCTATCCTTGTTACCATATTAACTACATACCTACTAACACCAAAATGAGATTTACAGCAGTACAATGTTTCAGAAAGAGGCAAATTTATTGTCCCTTCGTCACTTTTTTAAATACTTCTGTTTTGGCAAATGTAAACATATTTTTCCGGAGCTGATGTGCCTGTATTTGTACATCTATAGTACAGTATTTGTAACTATTATCCAAATAAGAAACTTGTGTGGGGCTATGCTATCTAAGTTGCGAAATTTACATCAATAGTCCAAGGAGTATCGCTGATTTGGAAGAAAAATGTTCGTCGCGAACGAAAGTTGTACCTGCTACAGGGTGCGTCAGCACAACTTCCTTTTTTAAAATGCGCACCATTCAGTCGGTTGATGTAGCGTAGCGGTAGTGGTCTCGTTCGAAAGGCGTGAATATAGTTTTGTCCCGACATGGTTCAGTCGCCATCTTGCGGAACAGTGAGAAGCGTGCTTTTTTAACTTAGGCCCGTTGGCCCCTGTACCGGGACGGAAATCAGTTGTTACGTGGGACACTATGTTCAGACACACTGCAAGTGCGACAAGACGAAGAACTGAAGTCCCACATCCCATTAGATCACCCTTACAAGATGGCAATTGTGCAGGAACTTTCTGAACGTGACTTCAATTCTCGGATGAACGTTTTCTCGAAGTAGTTCCCGAGGACGCTATTGTTGCTCTTTTTTTTTAGTGATGAAGCCCATTTTCATTTGTGTAGATTTATCGAAACGGGCTACTGGGCTTACGCCAACCCTCGAGAATTGCATCAAATTCATTTGCATGCACCTAAAGCCACCAATGTGGTGTGCAATTTTCTCAGCTGGAATTATTGGTCCCTGGTTCTTTGAGGAAAATGAAGTAGTGACTGAATTCGGACCGGTATGTAAACAAGGTCCAGGATTTTTCCCACGGCTAGATGAGTTGGACTTAAGGAACATTTGATTCCAATAAGACAGCGCAATGGCATACACATCAAGAGCATCGATGGCTGTTTCGTGGAAACACTTCTAGAGCGTCTCATTTGTTGTTGTTGAAGATTTATTTAGCATTAATGCTGTCAATTTTGTATAATGATTCTGTTTCATATTTTTTTTTCAATCCATTTTCTGTATTATTACATTCTGGTCTATTAAAATTAAAATTACGTCACTACGTATTTTGATTATTCATAAAGTGATTTTTTAATCTCACCTCAAACATTATTAAATTCGAACTCTGTTTAATATCATTATTCAATTTATTAAATTCAAATACTCCCTTTTGAAATATAGATTTACTAGTTATGCTACTATTACTGTCTATACTGCCTCTAGTTTCGTAGTTATGATAATGACTATTTAACTTTGTGAAGTTTTCTAAATGTGGTGGTAATAAATGATTTTTAATTTGAATATGAAAACGAGAACCTAATAATATATGAAATTTTTAACATCCAACCACTGCAGTTCTTCTAACATAAATTTAATCCTAGCATGTTTGTTTTTATTTAAAATGATTCTCATAGCTTTACTTTGTAGAATTTGTAATTTTGAAAATATGCTTTTATTTGCTGTAAACAAGATGGTTGAACAACATAAAAAATGGAAAAGCATTATAGTGTTATACACATTTTTTTTTTGGAATACATACTAAGATTATGGGAAACCCTTTAGCAGTAATTTATCTTTTTCGATATTTTTGAAATAATGTAGTCATAATGTTCGTGAAATAGTAGCTTAATATCCACATACATACCAAGATATTTAAATGACTCGACTACTTCCATTTTTTATCATTAATCATCAATTGTATTGTCACCTGAATGTTTCCCTATTGACATACATTTTGTTTTATTAATGTTTAATTCAAGTTTATTGAAATTTAAACAATTCATATTTTTTTCAATATCACTATTTAACAGTTCTAAAGCAGTGTCGAAATGCTTATGTGCTATATATATAAGTGTAAAGTCCGTTAGTATCGTTCGGAATAGTTGGCGCCGGCCGGCTGTTGGCTAATTTGCGCGCTCGTCACCAACCAAAATGTTTGGAGTTGCTTCGGTGTGCGCACCGGCAGCCCATCCCGACTAAACTATCGGCCGTTAGAAAGTCTGCAGTCTGCGGGGGCCCTTCGCGACACTTCGCCTTTTTCGTACTCCGTATGAAATAAAGCCCATTTATTATTACTATTATAACTTTGAATAAACAAATCCAAATTGGCACGTATCCCACGATCGGCAATCCGAATATGAAAGGACAACTATTACCAAAAAGAAAATCTGACCCTATAACGTCCTGGAGACTTTACTGCTCGCAAGCAGCCATTCAAGATTGACATTTGCGGAGAATCGGTTAGATTTACAATTTTTTCGCTCTCCGCACATTGCCATGGCAACCTGTAATTCAAATAGATAAATATACATATTACGAGTTTTTATTATGTATACAAAGTGGGACATGGACCATGGAATTCTGAACGTGAAATGGAAAATACTCTGCTATTACTGCTGTAGCAATATAGAAAAAGTCGAGCGCAAAGAATTGTCATGTCCTAGAGATATCGCCAAATTTCTTTCAATTAGCAACTCCGTAAGTCGTTGAGCTCCAAAGAAAGTAAATAGAAAATTCGATTTTTGGCAATGCTACGAAATATATCGAAACTGTGTCGTTCTTTTTCCTGCGTCAAGTGATGTATCAAAAATAATACGAGCTTTTTCGTTGTAACGTACAGGGTTCTGTTTGTAATGTAAGCAATATTCTGTAACCTAGGCGAAACAATTGATTATTGCACATTTATTCCAGTTTCTCTTATCTCTTGCTCCACGTGTATTGGGTTGAAACAATATGGAGCTGGAATTAACTCGAGTAGATTATACAGTCGTTGGTGTGACTAACTCCAATTGTCTTGCATTGATGCCTGGCAATTTGCCCAAGGAACAATGTAAGGTAAGATTGATGCACATGTTTCTATGAATAATAACGTAATATTGGACGAAATAACTGGAGGCAATCCAGTAACTTACAAGTGTCGCAGCATAGGACAACAAACAGGATCTTTTGCGCCTCCAGACTCGTTCTTTTGATGAAATTCTATCCTCCACATCCTCTACCTAGGGCATGCTAGAACTTCATAGAGAGAATGTTTTGTTTTAGGTAGCTATTGTAGATGAAGACGGGGTACTGCAGGTGTTTTCGATCAAAAAAGACGAAATAGTCTTGCATTTTAAGACTTTACCAGGAGCTCCGATAAGTTCGCTAAAATACGTAAATGGATCTGGTCAGTATAACAACCTTTTCTTGTACCTCCACTTAAGAATATGTCTATACATTTCTTTGTAGGACTGAACCAAGGAAAAATATTTGTAGCATCAAAAAATGAAGTCAGAGGCTATTCTCAAAGAGGGAAATTATTCCTAACTTTCGATTCAGGGTTAACAGAACCGATAAGCACTATGTATGAAATCTTCAAAAATGTCTATGGTATATACCATAACACTTAATATTTTTTAGGTTTGTTATGGACAATGATCTTTTCCTTTGTGGAAAACACATATATACTCATTTTAGAGACTGCAGAGAAGTTGGATCTTACTTATGCGGAGACAAAATAGTTGATGTAGTGGCCTTTTACTCGACCAAGGTATTCTGTTGTGTATTTAAAATCCTACTTATAATTAAACTTTAAAAGCTGCAGGACACCAGACCATTGGTGGCGTATCCACATTTTCGTCCATTTTATTCAATAGGGGTTTATGGGCGCACACAGCGATGTATCATGTCCCCCTCTGATAATCCGGTTAGACCACAAAAAGCATGTTTAGATTGAGAAAATTTACTACCCCTACTCTTTAAACACTGTTGGGGGTTCACAAGAAATTATCTATGAAAATTCTGCAGGCGCCCATGCACAAGAACCGAGCATTAAGCACTCTGTGCCTTGGAAGACGCCACTTGAAGGTTCAGTTTACGCCAATACAACACAAAACGTACGCAAAAGCTATTCATGAGTTGTGGCGGCCACTAGTCACGCCTGTGCCCTCTTGTATGGTAGCACTAAAAGTGAAAAATAAAAACTAAGCTTAAAGTTATCCTTTAAGGAAGGGGGCTGGGTGGCCAAATATGTTACGGCGTCAAGCTCTGAGCAGGGTTTGAAGCCCAGCCACAGAAGTTACAGAAGTCATGAATTTTGTGTTTCTCTATATATGTATGTACCAAATCAGTACATATCACATCACTGGAGTTGGTTTATTCAATAATCAGTAACGAGCGAAGAGGCATGTGGAGTACAGTATTGGTAGAAAGGGCTCGGTAAGAAGCGTCAAAGGTAACCTAGTTGCCAAGCTTCACCTCCCCACTAAATCCTTTAAAAAAATGAAAGATCTTAATGAATATATAATATGGTAAAACAAAACCCTCTACACAACTTTGTAAAATTTATTAATAAAATATATGTAAAATAAATAAAATTCATTCAAATAATATTTCAAACTACAAAAGATTCGCGTACTTTTTCTTGGACTGTTTCTCCTCTTTCTCCATTTTACTCTTTGCTATACATTCCAAATTATGCATATAGAAGTATGAAAATTAGTTACACCTGAGTTTACAATTTTAGCACTACCCAAACATTCACCATCCTTAGCAAAAACAGCATACTGTCCAGCAGTTACAGCCCTTTTGTAAGTATTCAATTTCACAGTCAACCCACTTGTTGACTGACATATTTTGCAAGGTACCCAATGCTGTGTATGTTGAAATTTGAACTGACAATCTAGAATATAATTTTCTTCTAGATCTTTAGGTTTGGAGTAAATCCAATATGGTTCTGATGTGAAAAATAAGTTTGTATAAAGTATTGGATGTTTGGTACCACTTGCAATATATATAATATTTTTCTCTACATCTTTTCTAGCTATAAAATAAGCTACTGGTAGCCCCCCTAATCTAGCTCTTTGGCCTAAAGTCCATTGGTGAATTCCCTTGTGTTTTCCCATAACTTGTCCAGTATCTATATCTACAAAATCACCTGGTTCATCTTTAATATAGTCTTGAATAAATTCTTGAAAATTTCTGGACCCTATAAAGCATATCCCCATGCTTTCAGGTTTTCGGCTAATTTTTTCTAAGCCATTTGCATTAGCAATTTTTTTCACCATATTTTTTGTCAAGTCACCTAATGGAAACATACACTGCTTCAAAGCATTTTGAGGAATTTGACATAGGAAAAATGTTTGATCTTTCACTGCATCCTTGGCCAGGAGTAATTTTGCATTTTTTTCTGGATCATAATTTTCTAAAAATAATCCAAAAGTGTTTCTGGCATAATGTCCAGTCGCTATTGCGTCGGCTTGCAGTTTTGTTTTGGCATATTCGAGAAAGTAGTTGAATTTAATGTTACGATTGCACAGCACATCAGGGTTTGGTGTAAAACCAGACTCATACTCTTTGACTAAAGCACAAAACACTTCGTTCCAGTAATGCTTTACAAAATTCACGTGGTGTAGCTTTATGTCTAATTTTCTTGCAACATATAAGGCATCGTTATAATCTGCTTGTAGAGTACAAGTCCCTTTTTCGTCCATAATGTCCCAATTTTGCATGAATACCCCATGCACCTCGTATCCTCTTTGCTTCAACAGTAAAGCTGCAACAGCACTGTCCACACCTCCTGAGATCCCAACAGCTATTTTCTTGAACATTTTTTTGCATATTGTAAATGCAGAAGCTTTAAGTTTCAAATTCAAATTATTTTTCAAAAAATGTCAAATATATAACCTCAATTTTACATAAATAATTAGAGATGGGAAAATTATAGTGCTGATCACAGCGACGAGAGTAAATGATTCATTTGTAGAGATGGGAATATTTTAAGTTTTGGAGATAACAGTTTCTTTCCAGAGTCGAAGACTGATGTCCATAATCGCCTGCGAAGGAAGAATGTGTAGGATTTTGGAGCATGCGAGAGTAACGTGTAGTTTGGAAGTAGATACTTCTCCTACTATACTCCATTTACATGAGGATGATGATTCAAGAAGTGTCCTATTTGGTACAATAGATGGTAGAGTTGGAATATTAAATGTAGGAAAGTAAGAAAAATGGGCAACAGGGAAAGAAAGTCAAATCTTTATCGAAAATATTAGTTTACAGGCATTTAAAGGTTGGTTGATAAGCAACGAAAATAACTCTAGTTCGATCAACTGTATGGATAGTTACGATTTGAATGGTAGCGATACGAAACAACTAATCATTGGAAGACAAGATGGTATGATTGAAGTATATCAATTGAGTTTAAATCTCAATGTCGAGGTTACCCAGAAAATATTTTCTTTTGTAAGTTCTAGAATTATGTTGCAGTTATAAGTGAATTCTAAATCACTATGGATGTAGAAAAAATCTTATTTAAAATTCGAGCGTAAAGAATTGGGCCGCTGTTGGAATTTGGGATACTTTCATGCAATCAAGGCGTAAGCTTTTAGCGAGATTTCCTTTCAAAACTCCGCCCGGTTGCAGAATAAATAACAATTAATAAAATTAAATAATAAATTACAATTAATTTAAAAGGTCTCGATTACCTAAAAATAGCATGGTTTATTTAACATTTTTAAGGATTGCAATGAAAGAGTGACAGCCCTCAAATGCGGCGTTATAGGAGAGCAAGGTTTCAATGAAATCCTTGTGACGTCATACACAGGCCGAGTTTTTGGTTTGACAACACAACCCATAAGTACACACATCGACAATTCGGAAGGCAAATACGTGTTTTCTACAAACTCTTCTGAGAAGATTCATAAATTGAGGTACGGAATACTGAAATGTTTGGTTTCTGATTAGTCCATATATGCGCAGTCTTTTAGGAGATCGATATATTTTGAAAATCACTATTTCATATTTGATTTAATCAAAGTAAGCGTACTATAGGACCGCCCAGGGCGCCAGGACCTGAGTCGCCTGGCTGTTGGGTCGGAAAGGGGCAAGAGGGAATTTGGGGCGGTTCCGGCCCTGTTTGCTGATAAGACCAGGTCCAATATACTTTTTGAGAAAAAAAATATACTTGTAAAGTTGACTTTAATTTGGAGTCCAAGCTATTTCTAGAAGAATTACCAAGCATAGTCAACCTTAAAGGCCGTCCGTGACTGTACTTTAGAATATGACATGAAAGAGTGCCATTTTGTTCCTGTCCCCACGTGAGGCCGAGCGTTGCCGTGAAGCAGAATGACACCGCTAGAGAGCAGACCCCGCCGGCGGTTTTGAATAGCGCGCCTAAGGTCATGTTTCACGGTACCTCTAAACATGTATAGCAGGACGAATTTTTTTGAGTTTAAAAGCCGAGTTATTATTTACTGAGTGACATGGCGACAAAGAAAACAGTTAGCCGTATATAATTCGCGAATTCCCCTCTTTCTGAAAGTTGAAGCTTATAGAAATGTACGTCTAGACAGCCATGACCCAAGATATAGATTGATTGAACTGGGAACCATTTCAAACTGTGCAAGAGATGACACAAAGAATCGATCTTAATGGTTGGAACAAGAAGCTAGAAACGAAAAAATGTAGTGTGCATGTAGTACGTAAACTTCGTTGTAACAACTCTTTGAAAATGTTTCATATTTTGTGTTACCATCTAACAAGAAATAGCAAATTAATAATATATGCTTTTACCATATTTTCAATTTTTTTAGCTTTGTGGCAGAATTATTGAGGTGAATAGAGGCCCAGTCATGAGTAGTAGGATTACTCCGCAAACTATATAGTTTCTTCCTAAGTCTATTCCATAAGTAGCTATTTTCAGCAGTAATAAAAAGCATGGGGCGGCCGCTTTGCCAAAACTGTCCGTCGATAAAAAATACATAAGTCCGAACATGAGGACTTTTTCGCTAGTGAAACTAAACATAACTCATTGTACGTCACTGCTACGTGATGTGTCTTTGTGTACTCAAACCGCATTAACGGTAGCGTATGATGCATGTCGCTACTCGTTTTACAGTGGCGTATCCAGAAAAAAGTTGGAGGGAGCTAGGATTTCAAAAAGGGCATGCCGCAAGTTGTTTAAGTTTTATGGTTTGCTGATAATTGCAACAAAACACAAAATATTATTTCAAAAATTCGTAAAAAATCGCTATCGACAATTTGATTCATTAAATAAATACTATGATTAAGCTTCGATCATGCTACTTTTTTCATTTGATGATGAAAAATGTTGCCTCACGTTTTTCAATGTCTAAAAGAGACTCACAGTCAAGACCGGCGATTAAAAATTGAAGAGCGGGAGGGCGGGAGGCGGGTGCATGCTTAAGCAGGACTTGAGAGCAAACGCCCTTATGACGATTGAGGTGCGTAAAGGAAGGGCACCTTCGCCAATGGTCAGATATTTATTTTAAATACTTCGATATTGCGATTCCATCAGTTTCACCTCCATTCTTTCTGGATAAGGTTCAGATATTTAGAAAACATACTATTGTTCCTTTATACACCTCTAAGGTTCTTGATCCTCATATTGCCCCTCTCCCTAATTCGCCTCTGTCTATTTCATTTTGGTATTTGATAATATAATCAGCAATTACTCAGATTTATAGATTGTAGAAATGATGAATCAGTTTTTATTTCGAGTAATCATTCACTTTTAGGGTAGATATCGAGGACCTCAAGACGAAAATTTTGAAAGAAAGAGAGAAATATCAAACTTCCACACAATCGTTTTACAACGAACTTTCTGCTATTCCACTGCTCACCGTAAACGAAAGGGTAAAATTCGTATCACATTTATTTTTTTTAGTTTAGGATATACATAAATAGAACCTTCTTATTTTAAATTGGATGTTTTCAGTTTATTTTGGACAGGGAAAGTGCGACATACACTTTATCAATAGGAATTCCGACCCCCATAGATTTTATTTGATTCAATGTGACGCAAAAATTGAACTTATGGACGAACAAAAAAATTCTGCTGTTGTTTCTTATACGGATAGCAAACAGGTAAGGATCCTGCAAGATATTCAAACGAAGTTCAGTAAGTTCGACCGGTACGCTTCATAGATCTCTAGTATATCAAATTCCGTCAAGCGAGACATCTCAAGCCTAGAGCATTTGAGGCAGACAGGATTGTTATTATTCCCATGAGGGACAAATGTCTGTTTAATCTGCAGTGGTCTATGAGACTCCCAACCGGAACATTTAGCGACTCTCTACCCTTATTCAACAGCCACAGGCACCTAAAATAGTCACGTCTTTCTCAAGAGGTAAACTTTGAAAGGCTGCGCTGCACTCATGGGCGTCCGCAGGAAACTCCCAGGGGGGTGCCCCTCCTGAAAATCCTGTTATACTACAACTATTTAAAACTGTAATGACTCATACCCGTGATCAACACGTGATCAGAGCTCGATCCCGGCTTCCTTCCAGTACAGCCGTATAGCGTACGACATTTGTCGTTTCTGTGGCTTTGCGGTGGTCAACAGCACAGACAGAGATGGAAATAATGGTTGATTGTTCTCCGCCGGTAGAACCAATGAAATCAAAGACGCGCCTCGACCGGCAGACTCATAGGCGTCGGCAACGCATTGGAACGTGTTTCGTTGAGCGATCGCATATTGTGTGTTTTTATAAGAATTGTTGTGTGATTGTTATTGTTGTGGTTTCTGTGCTTACTGTTTTGGTTATACTTAACCATGGAGAGTACAAATGGCACGAGTGGAAGTACTGAAAGCCAGGGAACAAGTAGACGGCTTCGTAAAGCACTGAAGAGGGACGCGAAAGAAATCGTGCTCAACGTGTTCAATTATCTGAACAGAACTATGTCGCAGGGAGATGCACTCGCGCGTTGTGAAAGTATGACAGGCGTTCCAGAGTGGACCATTCGCAAGGTGGTGCATGAAAAGAAGAAAACTGGAGCTACTACTGATCCAAAGTTTAATTTGAAGGGACGAAAGGCCGTTAAATTGGATGACGATAGCAAAATGGCGTTTAGGCGAACCGTACATTCATTCTTCTTTAGGAATGAGATACCAACCCTCAAGCCTGTACATGCAGCGATCAAGGAAAATGAAATTATACCCCAAATGAGCGTCGAGGTAATGAGGAAATCCCTACACGAAATTAATTTTCGTTACGAAACGCGTAATCGGAAGTCAGTATTGATAGAGAGACCTGAAATAGTCGCCTGGCGTCGAAAATACCTACGCGAAATGCTTGAATATAGGCGACAAAGCAGAAAAATCTATTATTTGGACGAGACATGGGTAAATGCAGGTCACACAGTTAAAAAAACCTGGATAGACAAAAACGTAGTTAGTAACCGACAAGCAAGCATTGAAGGTTTGTCAACAGGTCTTCGTGGACCGTCAGGGAAAGGTCAAAGATTGATCGTAACTCATATTGGTAGCGATAGTGGCTTTTTAGAAGAGTGTGACTTGATTTTCGTCTCTAAGAAAGGAGGTGATTACCATGGCGAAATGAATGCCAGCTGCTTCGAGAGCTGGATTCAAGGGGTGCTTCAACGAGTTGAGCCCAACTCTGTGATCGTAATGGATAATGCTTCCTACCATAGTCGTCGAGCCGAACGTGTACCGACTATGGGATCTCGAAAAAGTGACATGCAGCAATGGTTGCGCGAAAAAGGAATCCCGTTTGACGATTCATGTGTGAAAGCGGAATTGTATGAAAAAATTAAACAGCACAAACCTGCGAACATTAGTTACGTGACTGATGAGATGGCCCGTCAATGTGGTGTCACTGTGCTGCGGTTACCGCCCTACCACTGTGAACTGAACCCAATAGGGCTCATCTGGGCTCAAGTTAAAGGTTATATTGCGCGCTATAACACAACCTTCAAATTACCAGACGTTAAGGTTTTACTTGAGACTTCCATACAGCTAGTAACGCCCGAACCTTGGCAGAATGCTATCCGTCATGTTGTGAAGGAAGAAACAAAAATGTGGCAGCTTGACCACCACATCGACACCATCATAGAGCCAGTTATAGTCAATTTCAACGAGGAAAGCGATAGCGACAGTTTATTACTGTCAGATGTAAGTGGAAGCGACGATGAATAAAGGTAATTCCCAAATTTTTAACTTACAATATGTTTCAAACCACTCTTTATTAAGCATGTGACAAATCTAGTTCACCCATGTTAAACATTCATACCTCGCCTATGAACAGCCGACTACTGGTAGTTAAGTGATGTTCACGTGAACATCGATGAGTCATTACAGTTTTAGATAGTTATAGTATAGACCTAGAAATTTAAATATTTAGGATGATTTTGTGTTCAATTTTGAGGATTAGCTAGCTCCACTCGCAATTCAAAAAGTTTCACAAAAAATTATTTCTTGTCGATGATCGCCTCCCTGAGAAAAATCTCTGCGGGCGTCCATAACTGTACTCCCGGACAAGAGCCAGAGCTGATCTCTTGATTGATGCAACGGCAAAAAGAAAACAAAGCAAGCGAAATGAGATAGATATGTTGCACTTAAATAATCAAATTTTCAGGGCAACCAAACGCTGGTTACGTACAGATGCCAAATGAACGTAAATAATTTGGAATTGAAAGTGAGAACCACGGAGGGCGAAAGAGGCACTTTAGCAGTATACGTTACTCCAATGATACAGCCGAAGTGCTCGAGAAAATTGACATATGACATACGCCCGTTGTCGTTGCACTATAAGTTGAATAAGTGTGATAGTAATAGGTAATACCCATACATACATTAACATTCATAGTGTCCATTTATTACGTAAGGCATTTTTGACGATTGTCACCCTCACCCCTCCTTCTGGTGACATGTCGAGAGATTTGGTTTAACCATCCTGGTCTTAATATCACCAGAATTTATATTTCAACTAAAACTTAAAAAATCACAATTTGCTTTATTGCTACTATTGAACTACAATAAATATTGTGACTTAAATGAAACATGTTTTACCTTCCCAATATTCTCGCAATTTTGCACTGTTTCTTGAGAGAAAAAATTATTACGTGATGCAAAGCTTGCGGATTTTCATGTTTATGATTTAGGTTGTATATTGAGTGGCAACTAATTTAAGTTTCATACGGTATTGTTACCAAAAATAATTGAATTTCCTATGTTTAATTAAGGTGAGCCTATCCATGTCTTTTAATTAGTTATAGATTAAACTATCACTATTATTTATTTTACTTATATTTTACTATTGAGTGCTGAGTGGAAGAACACCTCTCAGGTGAACTTCACCTTGAGATTTTGGGTTATGTCTGTAGATAATGGGAAAACACATTATTACTATTATTACACTTTCTATGATGTTTCAATTTTAAGGCATAGTGTTCTAAGTAACAAGCTGTATATAAATGTTACAGGTCATATAACATACTGAATATAAAGGGTTCCTTTAGTTTAGCAGAGATCCACACCTGGATTGCTCAAACGGTACCTCAAGTTCCTGAAAAGCCAGATTTGGGTGAAGTCACGGTACTTTCGTTTGAATCGTGTCTTTTAGGAACTATTTTAGAATGTACCTATCAGTAAGTTTCTACTTTCCGAAAGTAGTAAAAATGAAAAGAACGTCATGTGATGTATATGTATTTATACGTCCACGACTTTGTGTCTTGATATCCCAGGAAAAACTTACTATAAAAAAACATTTTAGGCAAGGTAAAGCAGAATTCAGAAGCGACAACATATCAACACTATCAACCTTAAAAAACAGCATTACAATAGAGGCTACAAAGAAAAAAATAAAATTAGAAATTGACATGTGTAAGTATCTAAGTATGTGGATTTTTTTTTTATTTTTTGATTAGTTGGTCTGGCGGTTGAAGCAAGGCGATTCCCAGAATATCTGAAGCTTGACTGTTAGATCGATCGAGAAATAGCCGCCCATTTGATGTTCTTTCTTTCAGCTGTCAATGATGAATCTGTCAAACAAGTACTTCTCCTAGTAGACAAAATTATTACGAATTGTTTGCAAAAATCAAAGGAGCTACGTTTGCTGAATGCTTTGAACGAAATCGACGTGACTGCAGAAGAATCGGTGAAATATTTGTCTGATGAGTATAAAGAGTTGTTAGCTCGTGAGGAAAACATAAGGAAAACTATGATAGGACAAGACGGGAATATAGAGATATTATTAGGTTTGTATACATATTTGCAAAAATAACTCGATATGCTAGATAAATAATTTTAGTAGAATATATTATATATATATTAACTAGGTTACCTGTAGGTTTAGAGTTTTCTTCAAAGCATACTCAATACTGGATGAATTTAAAGACATTTGGGGCATAGTTTTACTTCATAAGTTTGAAAAAACTTCAAATCCATAACAGTAACTCCGACATATTGTAAAATATTAATATTTATTTTACAGACGTGATCATGAATATCTACAAGGATTATAAACAAATAAAAGGTGGATACTCTAAGCAAAAAGCAGCCATATTGAAAGATGCTTTGAAAGATTATTCCTACGAGAAAGTTGTCTCACTATTTGACCATGAACCATTGAATAAGCTGTAAATTGTAATTTAAATGTCGTAACAAAGCGTTATTTCAATATAAAATTTTGTTTAGTAAGGTTAATTTTGATTTGATTATTTCTCCCCTAAGTGTAAAGGTAAAACTGTTGAAGGTAATATGCTACCATAATAATGAAAAAACATTTTTTCTTTTTCATTATTAATCGATATCTAAAAAATCGATTTTAGATGGAAAAAAATCGATGTTTCTGAAAAAATCGATTTTTTCTATTATTCGACAGACTTCATGTCAGAATGAAAAAACAAATAAGATAATAATAATAATAATAGACGTCTTTATTTATCCACAATTACATTGTAGTATAGCCAAATATCAGACTTACATGGGGAAGTTTAGCATGCTGCTACTCTTACACTTAACCATATAGTCT